GGAAGAGCCGCTCTCGGTGCCATGTGACCTCTGTGGCCGGCTCGGGGCTGAGGACGGACTGTTTGTAGCTTTACTAGAGAGGGAATAGCTGTTGTCCGCTGGGGGCGGGAGCATCTCCTCCCGGGACAGGACCGGACCGGGTGGGAGGGGGCGGTCGGCCGGCCCCGAGGGAAAGCTCGCAGACGCCAAGTCTGCCCTGGAGAAAGGAACACTTAATGTCTTACTAGCATTCGCGAGGCTCTCGCTGCTGCTTTCAATTAACTTCGTGACCGCTCCGCTCCTCTCGTGTTCCTGAGGACGAGGCTCCGGGTGACCCAGCGGGAAGGTGGCAGATGCTCCCGCCGGGGCCCTGGCTGGGATTAGCTCAGCGCGCTGGAGCCAGAGTTACACGGCAGGACGGAGCCAGGGGGCCCTTTTGCAGGCGCTGCATGTTGCCCCTATTTTCCCCACGGGGTGCAATGTCCCCCAAAGCCTTTGGAGCCATCCATGCTCAGGCCCATCCTGCGTCCCTCTGTGTCCCTGGACTGTGGGTCACCACCTTGCAGGCGAACCCACCTCCCCGCCCCCTCCCACGTCAGTCCGGCCACCTGTGGGGCCGCATCTCGCTGACTGGAGTCCCAGAGGTGCCGGGTGTCCCCACTCCCTGCGCCTGGGCGGGAGGCGCTTCTGGGCACTTCGGGCGGCGAGTGTGGGCGCCTCCCAGCTGTGCCCTCTCATGTCCCCTCTACAGCCTCGGTTTCAGCAGAAGAAACGGAAAACCTCTTCCTCGCACCGCAACCATCTGCTGCTGGCTGCTAAGCAGCCTTGCCCCGAAAACGCTCCAGCTGCCATGCAAGTAAGGGCCTGGCTTCTGTCTGCGCACGTCCTGGCGATTGAGGGGGAGGAGACAGATGCCCCGGGGAAGGGAAGTACCTTGTCCAAGGGCACCAGCCAAAGGAGAGGAGAATCTAGCTGGGCATAGGCCTAAATGATCCCCAGAAGCAAGTTCTTTTCTCATTTTTCCTTTTCCACCCTCTTTATAATTATTTAAAAGTAACATTTATTGTGTTTCCTATGACAAAAAGAATGCATGCCCAGAGAGAAAGCTTTAAAAATGCACAAACGTACGAAGACAAATGAACCACCAAAACAGACACCACCCAGCCCACGGCCATTGGCAGTTCCTCCTCGCCAGGATGAAGCGGGGCGTTTAGTTCGCTTCTTTTCAGTCTTTTCTCTCGGGGTGAGTGCGCGCACACGTGCGGAATGGAGACATGGAGTCACGTTGTCCGCCCTCTCTTGTTCCCAGCTTTCCCCCCTTGGCAGTCAGTGTCAGCATCTCCCACATCCATACGCGAGCTTCAGTCCCAGGCGCCTGAACTCTCCCATCCAAGCGCGTTCTGTTCTGCCCAAAACTCGGTTTTCTTTTGTGTCCGTCACGTGCCTCCTTCCTGGGGACCCGACGTCCTTTCCAGCCCGTTGAGCTGGTTTGTACCCACGGGACTTGCTTTGTACGTGGCACATACCCCCTTTGTCTGTGGATGTGCCAGAGTCTATTCAGGGCGGGCCTGTCGGCTCAGTCAAAGCTCATCCCCGAGAGAGGGGGTCGGGAAGGAGGGAGAGGCTGCTCATCCAGGATAGGGAGCCCTTCCCAGGAGGGTGCTCCCCACGGCAGAGTGGCCTTTGGGGAACGATCTCCAAAGTGATGTTTCATGGGAACCAGTGACCTTGCGACCTCCAGGCCTCAGGTGCTCAGCCTGTGTGTGTGTCACAGCCTCTGCCCAGGATGCCGGCGGGGCGGCCTCCCTGGAAAGGAACGGCACCCCAGGTGGCAGGGTCTCCAGGGTTTTAAAAACCTTTAAAAGGTTAATTCCGTGAACAGCGGGGACGGAGAAGCATGGCGGGTTGTAACCCCGTTCCCATCGCCGGGAGGACTCTGGGTGACCCAGCCGCCTGGCCCGAGGCCGGAGTCACCGCTACAGTCCACCTCTGCGGTGGAGGCAGAAACAGCCCAGGCCTCCTGGGAGGTGGAACTCCCCGGACCCGAGGCTGTGGTGGTGGTTGTCTCCTTGACGTTTCCTGTGTCAGCGGATGGTTTCCAATGGTTAGAACACACATGGCCCGAGGGCCACCCCTCCCACCTGGGCTGTGGCAGACACCGGGCAGTGGTGGCGGCTTTTCCACGGAGCCCAGAGATGGCTTTTCAGACGCAACACAGGTCTCTGGGCAGCCCGGCCGATCGGTCCGCAGTGGCCGGGGGAAGGGAAGCCCTCGCCTTCCCGGTTGGTTCATTGTCACCGGCAGGGACTGGACGCCACGTGCCCGGCGCCTTGAACAGGTGCTGGGACGGTGGGGTGGGTGGAGGAAGGTGGGCTAAGAGCCACGGGGTCTCTTTCTGGCCCCACCAGTTTTTGGTTTAAGACTAGACGTGTCTCTCTCACATTGTCACAGGCAGCCCCACTCCTGCCAGTTCCTAACCCGGCCTGGTCTTCCCACCTCCGGCAGGACAGCTGGGAGGGGGCCTGGGGCGCCCTTCACTGTGCCGCACAGCTGGCCCGTGCCCTCGGCCATGTGTCCCCTGGCCCCTGCTTCCCAGGGGCCTCCTGCCTTACAGCATCCAGCTGCCGCTCTAAACCTGCTGACCTCGTTCCCCAAGAAAAGACTCGTTTAGTCATTAAACCTGCTTGGGGGGCGGGGGGGGGGGGGGATTGGGGGGGAGAAGGAAGTATTAAGTGTCCCGATGCTGGAGACCAACCAACACCGGTGCGTTAGCTCACTGAGTTAGCCAATCTGCCACCAAGAGAATTATTTGTTTTTAATTTAATTGCTTTTATTTATTTTAATGAAATATTTCAAATGCATGAAAGTGCACGGATTAAAGAATACCATTAAAGCCACCACCGCGTACTCTGCAGCCTCAGAAATGGAAGGATTGCCTTTTAATGAGAAGAAGAGAGCGATGCGGCCGCTGCTCGGGGCCAGGGCTCCGGGGCCCCGCGGGAGGCAGCGGCGGATTCAGTGGGAAGCGGGCTGCAGAGCTGTCCTTAGCTGTCAGTATTCCCACTGTGGCTTCCGATGACCTCCAGTCAACACCTGGGAATACGCCCCTTCCTGTGGGTGCGCCCCAGCTCCGGGCCTGACTGCAGAGTGGCTCCCGCAGCTCCTTCGCTCTGTCAACGCCCCGGTGTCAGCCACCCTGAAGTTTCCTTCCCACGTGTTTCTGAGGGTCCCTGCGGGAGGGATTGTGGAGCTCAGTGGCTCAGGGACCGGCCAACACCGTCTGCTTCCTCTGGCTGCTCACAGACCACGATCCCGGGTAAATCTTGGGGCCTGTCACAGCAGGGCCCCGAGGGTGTGTGTGTGTGGGGGGGGTGCCAGGCCTCCTGCTTGCAGAGCTTTTCCGGGTGGACGGGCTGTGTTTCCCGAGATGAGATGCGCAGGCTGGGCTGTTCGTCAGTGGGTGATCTCACCCAGGGACCTGCCCCCAGCGACCTGGGCTTGGCTCCGAGGCCTGGCAGGCTGGGGCCTTGGTCCCGTTTGCCAGTTCGCCAGCTGCCCTGGGAGAAGCCAGGTCACAGTAACTATGGAGCCATCACAGTATCTTCCTTTCTGCTGGTGACCCCTCCGTCTTCAGGCCAGCCGCCCTCGGAGGGTCAGAGAGGTTGAGTAACTTGGCCAAGGCCACACAGCAAGGAGCAGCAGAGCAGGGTCTCTGGCACTGCTGCACTCTCCACGGCTGCTCCGTGCCCCTCAGGCCCGCTCTCCTCTTTGCCCTGCTGTGTCCAGGAGGGGCTCAGCCGGGACTCATTAGACTCCAGGAGGCGAGCCCTCTAGTCTGGGAGCTCCCTGCCCCTCCCGTTATGGCCTCGGCTACTTCAGAGACATCGCTGGGCTCCCATGGGGGGGACGTCCCATGGAGGGGGCGGCTTTGACATTCATGGGGGAACCAGCAAGTTAACGAACCAGAGGGATTTCTGGTGCCTGGGAATCCTCTTATGGGAAGAGGAACCCATCCCAGACAGGAAGGTCCAGAAATGTATTGGAAATATGCAGCCAAGGGCACGCACTCACCCTGTGCTTCTTTATGACGCGATCCCATGACCAGACAGGTGGAGGCTCCGTGTGCGTCCCTGGAGGGGAGGCCTAGCCACGCCGCCTCCCTACCTGAGCAGGTGAGCCCGGGGGACTGGCTCTCCTTCTGGAACCAGCCAAAGCACACGTCCTGAAAAGGTGACCTTCTGTGGACGCCAGCCTGTGACAGCCGAGGTGGGCTTGCCCATGGGACAGGTGCTCTGCTGGCAAGACAGGTGTGGCTCCCTTGGCTGGTGGGACAGGTGCAGTGCCCTTGGCTGGGCCTCACTGGCCCCGGAGGTCCCCTTCCTGCAGGACAGTCCCAGGGGCACGGCGCCAGAAGCCTCTTAGTTTGAAGAGGAGGGAGATGAAGTCCCAAGACATTGAGTGACATCTTGGCTTGGGTGTCTCAGGAAGCAGAGCCCGAGGCAAAGTCTTGGTCGCTGGTGGTTTCCTTGGGAGGCGATTCCAGCAAACAGGAGGGGGGAGCGGGGAGCGGGGGCGGGACGCCACTAAGGAGCGGGTCTCTCGGGCCTCCTGGTTGCAGCATTCATGCACTGGCTCCCTTCTCCCAGGTTGAGGGGTCCGCAAGGTGGGCCCTGGGGGTGGTGGAGGGCAGGTGGCATAGGCAATTGTCCTGTCAATCTTCCAGCCAGGAAGATGCTAAGAGGCAGTGGTGGTGAAGGCGGAAGGGGGTGAATCAGGGTTCCGGGGGAGGAGGGTGTCCAAGTGACAGGATTCAATGACGCATGAAAGCAGGCGATTCAGGAATCGAGGACGCTGCCGGGTTCGCCTACTGAGTGCCACTAACGCATGCGCCGTGGCCGCCTGAGAAACTTGAGCCTCTTCCCTGATACAGTTGGAGTCGGTTTCACCCAGTGCCCTTGCAGGTGGGTGCGGGTGACATGCCGGGTCTGTGACCAGACAGCCCGCGTGTGTCTTCTGCGGCGATGAAGCAACATGGAGAACGGGGCTCCATGTGGGGCCTGGACCGCAGCCTCAGGTCTGGCTGGGGGAGCCGTCTCCTCGTTGGGCAATTCCGTGGTGAGGCTCCGGGCACTGTGGTTGGACCCTTAGCTCCCTCAGCTCCATCCCGTTTCTCAAGACTCCACACAATTCAATGAGCTGCGTCATAGTCTTTGTTCGTCCCTTTCCTGCCTGGGCCGGCCAGACTGGATTCGGCTATTTTGCAACTGAGAACCCTGGGCAGCAGGAGTGGGTGTAAGGGGGAGGGTGAGAAACGGGCAGAGAAAGGGGCATGTGCATGCAGGAGTCAGCGGGATCAGCCTGTGGCCTGCGGGGGGCTGCTGGCTGTGTGGGCCAGGAGCCTGGGGTGCCTGCGTGGGGACAGATCTGGGGTCACCAGCATGTAGGTGGCCTGGAATTCATTTGGGTGCATGTGGTGGGAGAGGAGACGCTTGAATGTGTAACCCTGGGGAACGGCCTTGTTTAAGGGATGGAGGGGGGGGAGGGGGGGCCCTGGAGGAGACCGAGGAGGGGGAGGAGCTGGAGCAATGATGGCGTGGAGTCAAGGGGAAGAATGGAGAGGAAGAGCAGGTGTCTGTCAGCAACGGCAGGGTGCAACAGGGCGAGGATGGAAAGTGACGCTTGGTGGTTGGCATTTAGAAGGTCAAGGGCGATGCAGAGAAAGCGGTTTCACTGCTGTGGCGGGGACAGAGGGAGCTGGAGTGGGTGAGGAGGGAGTGAAGAGGATTTCGGTCTATCTTTCTAGAAGCTGACTGCGTGGGGAAGGAGAGGAATGAGGCGCAAGATGAAGGCAAGAAGCAGGAGCCAGCCAAGGCCTGTGAGCAGAGCTGGGCAGGTCAGAGTCTGCCCCATGCCCACAAGAGTGGCCCTTGTGCACCACGCACACACATGCACACACACGCACACACGCACACACGCAGACAGTACTGGGAAATGGTGACATTGGCATAAACTAAGCAGAGAGGTAGGGGCCAGGCCCTTTGCTTTCTCCTCCCTCCAGGGACGCAAATGCGTGGTTATCACTTGTCACCAGGCCTTTGCAAGTGGCTCCTCAGACCCTCACCCCATCTAAGGTGTCACCCACTGTCATGTCCTGTCGTTTCCCGACTTCATTTTTCATCGCATTCAGCTCATCCAGCCATTTTATTACGAATCCATTTGCTTATCAATTACCAAAGTTACATGGACACAGGGACCCGGTTTTGTTCACGCTCTATTTCCAGGGCCAAGAATGGGGCCCCCGATAGAGCAGTCATAATAAACAGTGAGTAAATGAGTAAATGGACGGATACTCGCGCAGCCTCACGACGCCAGTGCCACTGTGACACCCGGAGGCCCCGGCGCGATGCCTGCGTCTGCCCGCAGCCAAGCCATTTGGGAGACTTAGAGCCCCTGTCATTTTTATTGGTTTTGATGGTGATTTGCTGTCATTAGGGATTCAGGTCTCATCTTCGCGTCTGAGATCCTCTGAGTAGCCCGGTGGTGGGGAAGGGAAGAGAGGCACAGGCCGCGGCAGGCAGCCTGAGCCTGACCGTATAAATCCGGGAGGAGGGGGCGGGCGGGAGCGCCTGGCCCGAGGCTGAGCAGCAGGAAGCCCGAGGCAGCCGAGTGGCGCGTTTTGCTTCACTCCAAGCGACCATGAGGGCTGCCACGCGGCTCTGGGTCGTGCTGCTCCTGGTGACGGCCTCCGACTGTGCGGTGATCACCGGGGTAAGTCGGCTGGCGTTGCCCTGGGGTTCGGGAGGAGTCAGGGTCTGCTTGGGAGCGAGCCAGGGACCACGCGGGGCGGGGCGGGGGCGTGGGAGGGGAGCAGACCCAAGGGAAGGGGCCGGCCGTCCCACAGCCGCTCCCGGGCGGTTCCCAATGCCTTTCCTCGGGAGCAGGAAACATGTTACGTTCGGACCTTGGTGAAATGAGGGCTCCTATTTGGGGCAATGCCTTTATAGAAAGGATTGGCACCTTCTAATTCACCTCCCGTGTCCATTTGGGTTTTCATGTTCGGTCTGGTCCACGGGTCAAGGTTAATGAACACAGCTGTTGGCGTCATTAAAGGCAGCCACCGTCACAGCATCCACCGGGTACCGTTCCCCTCTGCGTCCGCCCCTCCCAGCGGAGGCTGTCCTGAAACCCTCCCTCCCTGGCTGTTTCTCTTTTCACTCTGTGCCCAGTCTGATGGGAGCAGGGGGACCCCTCCATCGGCTGAGTCACCCGAAAGCCAGCCTGGGGAACCGGAGAAATGGGTGGTGGCAGAGGCTGGGGGTGGGTGGGGGTGGGCACGGGCTCTTGGGAGCACGGCGTCACCCTCGCGGGGGCACCGGCTGTGCTCGGTGGTGGGGCCACACTCACTGCCGCAGGAAGTCCTAGCTGACCCCAGAGCTTTCCAGAGAGAAGCCAGCAGGGAAAAGGGGGTGGAAATTCACTTTTATTTCCACCTCCTCCAACTTCCCCCTGGACGATGAGAAGGTAGAGAAATGCCAAGCGACTCCGGGCATCGGTTGGTTTCATGCTCACAGAGAGGGGGCGCCTGGCTTCTCCTTTTAGAGGCCAGAGCCTGAGTTTCACAGGACAAACAGGAAAGGCGGCTGCTGCTTTGAGCCCAGAGCACAGATGTGACAGACTGGGCAGAACCGCACCCAGTGGGTGTGAGCCCTGGAGGCTGCCCTCCTACTGTGCTGCGTCCCTCGGGGAGGGCGAGTCACAGGGAGCATCGTGGTCACCCCACCCAGAGGGGTGGCGGCCGCAGGGTGACCCCAGGCCCAGGCCTCCCTGTGAGCGCTGACATCTGGTGGCAGGAGGCAGGTCTGAGACAGGGGGGAGCTGTCCTCCAAGTTGACCCTTCGAAGAGCACGGGGAGGGAGGGACCTCGGGGAGAGGAAACGCGTGACGGACGGACATGCACGCGTGGGTAGAACAGGGAGGTGAGGGCAAGTCAGGCCTCCGGCCTCTACCTCCCGGCCTCCACCTCCCTCTGCCTCCACCTCCCGGCCTCCCTGCACTCTCCACCTCCCTCTGCTCTCCGTTCTCCGCTCCCAGGAAGGGTCACGTCCTGCCACCCACTCCTCTGCACCCAGACTGCCACCGCCCCCAGCTCAGGCCTCCTGGTCCTTCCCCCAGAGTGGAGTGGGGGCACTGCTCTCAGCATCCCCCAAGGGTTTTGGGGTGTGCTTTTCGCTTCTGGTTTCTTTGGGTGGCACTAACGAGCCCTAATGGCCCCTTTGCCCCCCCTGCAGGCCTGTGAGCGGGACGCCCAGTGTGGGCCGGGCACCTGCTGCGCCGTCAGCCTGTGGCTCCGAGGCCTGCGGATGTGCACCCCGCTGGGGCGGGAGGGAGAGGCATGCCACCCCGGCAGCCACAAGGTACTGCGCCCACTTGCTCGGGGCCCAGGGCCCGCGAGGCAGAGCCGGGGCTGGAGCCACTCTCCCTACTAAGTGCTTTGTATGAGTTTAAGCCTCTTTCCACCGTATGTGTTAGGCTGTTATGAACCCATTTTACAGATAATAAAGTTGAGGCACAGAGAGGCTAAATAACTCGCCAATTGTCACAAAGCTGGTGAGGGGCAGGCCTGGGATTCGAGCCAGGCAGTGTGACCCTCATCGCTCCTCTCCAACCCCCTGAGGACCTCGGGGCTCAGCTCTGCTCTGGGGTGACCACAGGGCAGAGCGGTGTCAGTCCTGTCCAGCTGCGTCCCCAGGGCCCACCACTGTGGCAGGTGGTGGATGAATTATAAGTGACATTCCGTCGAGGAGTGTGTGTGTGTGTGTGTGTGCAAGCACCTGGGTGGGCCAGCGAGGGGACCAGTGCTGGCGGCTTGTGGGGTTTCAGGGTTGGGGGTGGACAGCCTTGTGCTGTGGCTGATCCATAGTCTCGGGAACCAGATTCCCTGGGTTCATCCTGGCCCCTGCACGGATGAGCTGTGTGATGGTGGCCCGTTGCCTAGCCACTCTGTGCCCCGCTTCCTGCTCTCCGGGCTGTGACTGTGCTGGGGCGGGGGTGCTGGGACGCAGGCCGGGGCCGGGCCCAGCAGAGGCCCTGCCTGGAGGCCCGTGTCCCTGGGTGACAGTGTCATCCGTCCTCTCCTGTCCCCCCAGGTCCCCTTCTTCGGGAGACGCCAGCACCACGCCTGTCCCTGCCAGCCCGCCCTGCTGTGCTCCCGGCGCGCCCCCGGCAGGCACCGCTGCTCTGCGGACTTGAAGGATTTCCACTTCTAGGAGCTCGTCTCGTCTCCGGACACCACCCGGCTCTTGGTCTCTTATGAACTTTTATTTTCTTTCTGCCACGTGGCCCTCCTTCTAGCCCCCCCGACCCCCCCACCCCCCACTGCCTGTCGACACGCCCGACACGCCTGCCTGCCTCGTCCGTCAGCACACACACGGGCGCAGGCCGACACACTGCTGGGCCACCCACCGGGGGCCTGAGGGTGTCCCGCTGGGCCGTGGTCCCGGAGGCAGCCTGGCCGGTTCTCCGTCAGTCACAGGGGCTGTCAGTCTCAGAAAGGGTGTCCTTTCCTTGTCCCGGCCTCGCCCTCTGCTCCTCAGTGACGTGGCCTCCAGGGCCCTGCTCTCTCCTCCCTGCTTGCACCCTCTGCCTGGTCCGGATGTCCGAGCACAGACCCTGGGAGTCACGGGTCCGGGCCTGACTCTTGTCTAAAACAGCAGCCCCACTCAGCACCCCACATCTGGACCGGGGCTCCCTGGGGTCAGGGCGGTGGTCCCAGCGGCGGGGCACCCTGGTGGGCCGGTTGCAGAATAAAAGCGTGGACAAGGGCGGGTGGCCGTGGTGCCTGTGTGGGACTTGGGAGTGGGACCCGGCTTTGTCCAGGTGGGACAGATGCCCTGCGCCTCCCGGGGCCAGGGCGGTTTCGTGGAGAAAGCGGATTCAGGTCTTTGAATGAGGAACGAGAGGCAGCTGGGCGGTCGCGGATGCCTTAGAGCCGCAGAGGAGGCGGGGTGCCCAGGGCGCTTTGACACCCTGCCCGTGGCTGCCCCGCTCCATCCCTGCCTGGGAGCTGCCAGAAGCAGACCCACCACTGGGCCGAACCACCCGTGTAATCTAACTGGATCAATTCCTGCTTTTCATATCAGACCTTTGAGGAATGTATCATTGGTCTCTGCCCAGTTCCCCTGGTTTTTCCTGAAGAACAAAGAGGGGGGCTGGGAGGCTAAGACAAGCTTATTTGTGTGAATTCCTTATATTCAGGAAAATATTCTTCATACATGTAGATGCAAAAAGATTCTACTTATACTAGTAAGTAGAATCCTATATAATAAAAGGCTAATATGCAAATTAGTCAAGCCCTCAGAATTTCTACCTACTGGGAGTTCAACCCCTTGCTATGATGTGCGCTGACCACCAGGGGGTGGTGTGGAACGAAAGAAGGCCCCAGCTGGCAGCCAGAAGGCCCCGATCGGCTCTGATCGCCCGCCGGCCAGGCCTAGGGACCCTACCCATGCATGAACTTCATGTACCGGGCCTCTAGTGTATCCATAATAAAAATGTATCTTAGAAGAAGTAGATTAGGATTGGGTGATGTGGACACCCCTCCAGATCTCCAGATGCAGACCTTTCAGGGGCAGCCCCCCCTTTTCTTTTCAGTCACTGGAGTCTGGTGCCATCTGGTGGCTAACGTGGGGATGGCAAGAAAAGCTGAATTGGGAAAAAATGGAAGCTTCAGAAAGACACAACCTTCTCACAGAGGATGGGGACCAGTCCCCTGGTACCCCCAAGAGTTAGACTCACTGAGAGGTTTAGAGGGGCAATGCTCCCACCTGCAGGAAGAGGGCTGACACCCTAAGGCGCACAGGAGGGATGCTGACTGCCCCTCTGGGTCCAGCCCCACCCTAGATATTGCTAGAAGCCCTGTCCTCTTCCTGGGAGACTCTCTCCCCTTCCCCAGGATTAGGAGAGGGGGGGGTCAGAGAGGCCGACTGAGCCCCTCCCCCTCTATCTGTGTGCTGGTCCTCTGTTAGTGTCCCCCAGCCCCCACCTGAGTATCCAAGTCTGAAGTTCAAGGGCAGCCTGGGTTTCTCTCTCTGCCCTTCTCCCTGAGCTCCATGTCAACTGGTCACCAAACTCCGTTTCTTTTTCCTTTTTAAAAATGTCTTTATGGATTTTAAAAATATATTTTTATTGATTTCAGAGAGGAAGGTAGAGGGAGAGAGAGATAGAAACATCAATGATGAGAGAATCATTGACTGGCTGCCTCCTGCACGCCCCCACCTGGGGATCAGCCCACAACCTGGGCATGTGCCCTTGACCCCAGAATTGAACCCAGGACCCTTCAGTCCACAGTCTGACGCTCTATCCACTGAGCCAAACCAGCGAGGGCTCTTTATTGATTTTAAAGAGAGGAAGGGAGAGCGACAGAGAGGTAGAAACATTGATGAGAGAGAAACATGGATGGGCTGCCTCCTGCGCTGTGTCTGAGCGCCTGCCCAGCACGATCTATGGCAACTGCTTCCAACCTATTCTCTCCGCCCGAGTCCTCCCCTTAAAATCCACCCCGTTCATCTGCCGTCCTCCTCCTAGGAAGCACCTTCCCCGGTTTATTCCCGTTAAAAAACCCTCCGTGGCTTCTCAGCGCCAAGGAGATGCCCCGCCTGGCCCTGGAGCGAAAAGCCACCTGTGGCCTGGCCCCGCCCACAGGCTGCAGGGCCCCGCCCACAGACTGCGTGGCCCCGCCCACATGCTGCGTGGCCCCGCCCACAGGCTGCCGGGCCCCGCCCACAGGCTGCCGGGCCCCGCCCACAGGCTGCCGGGCCCCGCCCACAGGCTGCCGGGCCCCGCCCACAGGCTGCCGGGCCTCAGGATGCGCAGGGCGTGGAAGCTGCCATGTGCCTGCCTGCGCTTCCCTCTGCGGGGCGTGCTCTGCTCCGCCGCCGCTGCCCGGTGCCTCCAGGATCAGCTCAAAGGCCGCCCTGCCCCGACGGCCTCCAACCCCCCCCCCCCCCCAGGCACCCAGCCGGCACTTGCTCCTGGAAAGCACCCATGTCCAGGGTTGCTTCAGGGGCGCCCCTTTGATGGGGATTAGAAAGGAAAGCAAAACACCACCCTTTTACACAGCTTTGCACCATCGACTGGCCAACGAGAGAATAAAACGTGCGGTGGCTGAGCGATGGGACAGGGCCGTAGCGCCTGCCTCAGGGCTGCCGAGTTAGGTGCTGCGTGCAACCTGCTTCAGCCGGCCCGGCGGCGCAAGTTCCCTCGGACCACCTCGAGCTCCTTTATTTGTGAGGACACCGTAGCCCGTCAGCCCATCGGCGCTGGGATTCCTGCGCCTGCGGGAGCCGGCTCTCTGCGCCTGCGTGACCCGAAGGCGAACTAATCAAACCCCAGGAAGGAGCGAACGCCCCCGCCCGCAGGCGCCTCGAGTCCCCGAGTCCCCGAGTCCGCGCACCCCAGCGCGGCGGGGAGACAGTGACGGGCCGGCGTGTGCGCGGCTGTTACCATGCGGCCTAGGAGCGCAGGTGTACGTAGGCAAAGCTCCAAAACCAACTCCGCGGGGGACAGCGATACCCAATCTTATCTCGGGGCGCCCGGTGCCTCGCCGAACACGAGTCACTGTTTCACCGTGAAGTGCCCGTTTGCTCGTGATCTTGATCCTGTGCTATTCATTTTTATTTATTTACGTAGAAATAGCAGAAGGAGAGTGGGCTCTTCTCAGATTGTGTTCAAATTAAACCTGTCAAAGCGCGTGTGTCCCCTGAGACAGGCGGCTTGTGGCGCCCCCCCTCACCCCGCCCCAGCTCCAAGTACCAGGAAATGTCAGTTTCCAGACTGTGTGTGCGGGGAAGCACCAGGGAGGGGGCAGCGTGCTGATTCCCGAGCTCCAGAGGCGCCCAGCTATGGCGGATGCAGGGGCCCCCGCACCTCTGCCCCAGCGAAGCGGGGTCCTAGCCGGCACCCCGACCTCGGGAGGAAGCGCGTAGACATCGGATGGAAATTCTGACTTTCTCTCCAAGGGGCCGGCAGGCTCATTTCCATCAGAAAGTGCACCCGTCATCTCATCAATAAACTAGACCGAAGCAGGAGCGGATCCAGAGACACGGAAGCAGGGACCAGAGTGCGGATCTCGGAGGGAAGGCGGTGATCGACAAAGACCTTGTGTGCATGTATGCGTGCCCATGGACGCAGACAGTGGGGTGGTGAGGGCCCGGGGAGGGGCGGGGTGGGCTGGAGGTGCCAATGGGGGGAAGGGGACCTAGGTAATACTTTCAATAATAAAGACTTTTTTAAAAAGGAAGAAAGAAAATGCTCTCGTCAAGCCAGAGCGTGGTCTTAAAGTGAGAAAAAGGACTAGCAAGACAGGAGACGGGATGTGTGTGTGCGCACGCGTGTGCGTGTGTGTGTGCATGTGTGCCTGGCTCTGCATCCGCCCACAATGAGGTTTCAAAGGGATGATGACTGTCCCTGTGAACACCTCCCTCATCAAAGCGGCAACGTGGAAAGAGAACAGGAGAGAGGGCTCCGTGGGGGGAGGGGAGGCTGCGCTAAGGGGCTGGCATTCCCCCTCCAGGGCCAACAGCTGGGCCCGCACCTGATGCTGGAAGCCACGGGCGTGTGGAGGCCGCACTGGCTGCCACGGGCCTGGCCGGGAGGCAGACAGTGCCCAGCTCGCATCTGGGGCGCAGCTGGGATGCTCGGTGTCTGGAGGGGTGTTAGGGAGTTGGGGCCACAGAAAAGGAGGCCCAGGCCCCGGGGCCAGGGGCTGCCCCATTGGCCCGGGAGCTGCTGGGAGCCCGTGAGTTGGGAAGTAGCCGCACGTGTGCAGCAGCCCGTGGCTCCCTCCAGGGAGAGGAGGGGGGAGGAGGGGAGAAGATGGGAGAGGCAGACATTGCGGCCCCTCCGCCAGGCTTGTGCTCCTGGGCTCCTTGGCCCCAAAGAAGGGACACCGAGAAGAGGCCGTGGGCATGGGTCTGAGGAGGAGCCGTGAGTGTTCTTGGGGACCTGGCGCTGGGGGCGGGGGCTGCAGGAAATGGGCGCCAAGGGCCTGGCCTTACTCTGCTGCAGGCTTGGGTGGGCAGGACGGGCCCAGGCGCGAACTGCCAGGGCAGCTGGGACGTGACTGAGAGGGGTGCTCTCAGTGGTCTGGCCTCAGGACATTCGCTTCTTCGCTCCCTGGGGTGTGTGGGTGCCTCTGACCACGGGGGAGGCTGCCTGTGGCCACCACACCCCAGCAGCTTGCAACCCCCCTGCAGACAGCCTCATGGCAAGGCGAGGGGGTCAGAAGGCCTTCGCAGGGCTGCCCAGAGGCGCCCCGAGACCTTGGGGAGCTGGGGACAATCA